GTAGTGTTTTTAAACTAAAAGAGGGTAGATTGTAAGGAAGAAATTCTTCATGATAAGGGTGGTGAAACACCGGAACAGGTTGCCCAAAGTAGATGCCCCATCCCTGGAATCATTCAAGGTCAGGTTGGACAGGGCTCTGAGCAACCTGATCTAGTTGAAGATGTCCCTGCTCCTTGCAGGGGGGGTGGACTAGATGACCAGCCAGTCATCTAGTCCAGGATGACAAGTCCACTAGATGACCAGGAACTAGACCAGCTAGTTCCAACCCAAACTATTCTATGATTCTATGATAAGTGAATGACCTGGCACCATCATTCTAATGTAAAGGTTAACAAATGAAGTTCTGTTCATAAAAAAGACGTTGCTTCTAAAGGACTGGATAAAACTAGATGTATACAGATAACCAGAAAATGGAAATAAATATCCCATCAGAGTAGCTACAAGGAAAAACTCTCTTTTTCTGTGCATTTATAGCATTAATTTTAAAAGAAAAATTTCAGCAAGTCAAAAATCAGAAACACAGAGGACTATGCCTCTAATTTTTGCTCATTACCTGCCTCAGCTTGGTGCTTTGTGTGAGACAAGCAGATGTTGGCAGCACAAGTCGGGTTGCATAACAGGTACAAAGCTCCATGTTCAAAATTGGGTGGGAGCACCAAACTGAGACACTACAATCCTGCAAATCCCAATTAATCACTCCATGACTCTAAAACAAGTCTGACTTGTAGCCAGTTTGATGGAAAGGAGCAAGGATGGCTTCAAATCACTGCTTCTAGGACTGTCTGCTTAAATTAAATTAAATGGTCAGTGGGTGAAAAACAGTGCTGGGAACACATACCAGAATTTAGAAATCCCTGCTGCCAAGGGGATTACTACCCTACAAAATATTTCTTCTTCTCCCTGTAAGTGGGATTGAGAATTTCACCCTTCAGCTTTCTACAACGTTAACTAAGGAGTCAGGCAAAACTCTTTTCAGTTGCCTTAGTTCCCCAGTGATTAGTTCTAGACAACTGGAGGCTCACAGTGCCAAGTACTGAGGATGTACTAGATGACATACTGAGATATCTCCACCTGATTCCCTGGGTTTGAACTCTTAAATCCAAACACAACATTCTGAACTCCACATTGGAAGAAAGACACTTAGAAGTTATGCCAATAAGGCATTGCATTTGGCTCAAAATATCTACTTATCCTAAATCTCTGGTTATGCCTCTTCAGCCGTTACTTTTTCCATAAAAAACTACAGTTGTAAAGTAATATTAATGTGAAATCTTGCAAAAAGCTTCTCAGTTTTTAAATGGTATTGAAAACGCAGCATGACTCACGGTGGACACAGTTCACAGCAGATCTACTAAATACTGTTAGGTGGAATTATAGCAAGAAGGATGTCACATAATTGCTGCTCACTGACAAGAAAATTCTACACTATCACACGTGGATAGAAGAGCAGAAAGAGAGAATGAGATGGAATGTAGGTGGAAGGCTTTGATCTACTTAAATTCTCTAAACGCCAGACTGAACAAAGTATGAAGGGCAAGTGATGAGAAGGAAAGAGAATGATGAAAGATTCTTTCTTTCACTTTTAAATGGAAAAATATTTTAAACCTTTCTTGAAAACCAACTGTGAAAAGTCATGTACTGTTAGTGAACTGTCACTGTTAGTTGTGTGACAAATTCTACGGTATTTTTTGTCATAGTTTTGTAAAACACAAAGAAATAACTCAAGTCCCCAAATGTATTACCCAGGGATGTATATACAACAAATATATTTTTCAGATAAGATTTTACAGAAAAAGAAACAAAATCAAAACCCAATCCCCAAATAAAACAAAAAACCAAAACAAAAACCCTGAAAAAACACAAGCTTCTTCCATTTAGAATTTACTAGAAATAGACTAAAAGAGTTTGTCTTGATCTTACTGTCAAACCATACTTAGCTTTTATTAAGCATATATAAAAAACCTACCAGAGAGTGATGAAAAATCTAATAGAGCAGTCTATCTTTTAGATATTGCTATGTCTTATCAACTCTCCAGTCACCAATATATTTCCAGTGGAGGATGCTCCATGTTTTTAAACGTTATTGTTCCAGACAAGGCAAAAGGACAAAAAATTGGAAGAAACTTCCACATCATCTAGTCCATCCTCTTTCTCAAGGCATAACCAAATGTCTGTTTCTCATTCTGCACCGACACTCATCTAACTCATTAGAGACTGACTGTGATAGCTCCACGATTTGCCCAATCTATGTTGTTATTTACTTATCCTTATTATCAGAAAGTTTTTCATAAGGTCTTATGTGAATCTTCTCAAGCACAGCCAAAGCCTACATTTCTTCTTCCATCCATGTATTATTTTATTTAACAAATTCAAAGGCTGTAGCCGTGTTTCCCTTTCAAAGGCTAATCACAGCTAACAAGAAGTCCTGGCCAGGATCAGATAAACTGAGGAAGCATGATGAACTAAAAGAGATCGTAGTGTTAGGAGTAGGCAATCCAGGGAGACAAGGTTATACCACTCTCCCTGGTATGAAATCCCCCAATGAGTAAAGAAAAGAACTCTGTCCCCAGAACACCACACAAAACAATGGAACTTATTGACTACAGGGGTATAGAGCTTGCAATGTGTCAATTTCCTACCTCTACCACAGTTGTCTTGGCAGCTTTGCACATAGGTTGGTTGAAGTTTCTTGCAGTTTTCCTGCAAAAGAAAAGAAAATTAATAACTATTACAAGCCGTTAATAGTACAAAGAAGGACTTTTCAGAGATAAGTTACTGCAAGTATTTCTGTCATATAAACATCACAAATCTCTTCACCAAATAGCTAGAGGACTAATAAAAAAACAGAGGGAGTAAAAAGTATTATGGAATTGTGTTAAGATGCATACGAAATTAAATCATATTTTGCTACATTAGAAAATATTTATTACAGCTCTCTTGACTTTTAATCAGCACACTGTTTAACTGAAATCAGGTATGCTACTGATATCTTCATTTATTAGATCCAAGAGTAGCAGCAAGCTGGGCTTTGAACAACACACCTTCCCATTATTTCACTGCACAAAGAATGAAATTGATCTCCACAGGCGGCCAGCACAGGGCCAACAACCTCTCAAGTCCTGCATATGCCTCCATAATTCAGACTAGGACTTGGGATAACACTTTGCACATTAGTAAATTTAATCTAGTTCTCTTGATTAAAAACCTGTGCCAGTTTTGGCACTCACTGCAAGACTTTGGCATTCTCCTAAGTACTTCCATGCAGTATTTCTGTAGCAAGGAAGAAGAACCTCTAGGGACTAAAAGTAACACATGACATATATAACCCTGCTGGGATCTGCACCGAGATTCTAGTAGGCACAAGAAAAAATAAATGACCTGTGTCACCCCCTCTCTGTATTTTTTCAGAAAGCAAACAAAACTGTGCGGGATAATATTTAAGAAATATTATGTATATTTTAGCGGCGTTACTGATAGCTTCTCAGCATTTTTCTCTTTCAAGAAGTAGAATTCTTGAAAATTTTTCATCAAAATGCATGAAACTAGGTTCAAAACAAGTCAAAATTTCCTTTCCTCCCTCCCTTTTCCATTTTTTTTTCTGACTACCCTTATTTCCCAAAGCCTTCCTTATCCACCCTTGCCTGCGATGACCATGCTGAGTGCTGTGGCCATGCTGAACTTTGGGATGCTGCTGCCACCTCGTGGCTTTGGGGGCGGTAGGGAACTGAAATGGCCAAATCCTGAGACTACCAAGCAGTTTTAACAGGATTTCTAGTGCAGAGACCTACAGAATCAAAGTTATACCCAAAGACACCTGTCTTGGGGAAATCCTGTTTTATCGGCAATACACTGCAGCTGTGAAGCCTCTGACAGGCTACAGTATCTTTTGTCCGTGGTTCTCCTCTGTGGCTGTGGAAACACAAAAGGATGTAAGAAGAAGAAAACATAGAAAAAAAAAAAAAAAGGCTTTAATTTACATTCTTCTCTTAGTGCATGAATACATTAGATAGTAGTGATTTAGGGAAAACTACCCTAAACTAGGTAGAGAATGAGAAGAAAAATAGAGTTACAAAAGCTGAATTAAAATACCAAGGGAATGGATCCAGATGAAGGAGGGCAGATGTGGAAACAAAGAATTCAGTTATTTCATCCCAAGTGAGTATTTTTCTAAGCCAAAGGCTTTCTCAAGATCATCTGGTCTGCCAGTAAAAGGAATTGGTATAAAATTATTTTTACATAGGGGAAAAAGTTACAAGAAAACATTTCAATGTCAAATTAAGAAGAGTTAATGGGCTTGATTCTGACCCTATTTATAAAAGCTTATGCAGTTTATAATGTTCTTAGGTTAGTAAAGTTGTTTCAGAAGCAGCAGTCTTTTACAAGATCAAAGGTCTTATTTCTAAAGAACACATAATCCAGAAGGAAAAAAAAAAGAATCACAGAACCATTAAGGTTGGAAAAGACCTTTAGGACCATCAAGTCCAACCATCAAGCCAACACCACCATGCCCACTAAACCACGTCCCAAAGTGCCATGTCTACATATTTTTTGAACACTTCCAGTGATGGTGACTCCACCACCTAAACACTACTTACACGGAAACACTACATAAGCCAGAAGAAAAAAAAACAGAAACACTATGCTTATTTTCCAAAACAGAATAATGTTCAGGTTTTTGGAGTATGAAATCAAGAAGCTAGATAGCCAGGTTTGTCTTTTTATTTCAAGATATCTTTCTGAACATCTAGACCCAGCAATGTCTACAAAGTCCATTGTTCCAGTGATGGATTCCTAAGCTGACCCAAAGGCATGACAACAGCTTTTGTCCCAAAGGCAAAAGATAGGAAACTAGTTCATAGTAGGCTAAACCAACAAACTACATCCACTATGTCAAAAATACATTTTCCTTTTCATCCTCTAGATCACAGAAATGTTGCTGTTATTCTAATCTATTAGAAGTTCCTCCTCTATTGTCTCCTGCAGGCTATGAGATGAGCCTATGTTTCTCTGTTGTAGGCCATGAGGTAATCTACGCCACATCCAAAAACAAACATCCAAAACCAAAATGTGTCACTGCTTATTATGAGCAAATTCTTTTAAGATAGCAATAGTCTACATGGAATAAGACACTGGATGATGATTTTTCCATCTTTCATTAGTCACACTTGAAAGAAGGAGTCAAGATTTTTAGGTCTCCACTCCAGATGGTAGTATCTGGTACCAGCTGTATTGTGTGAATGTGGGAGACAAGTCAGAGAAAGACAAGGCCAAGGGGGAAGACTATTTCCTGTATTCCATGTCCCAGAGCCTAAGGAAAACAGTTTAGCAGGCACCAAACTCCTGTGCGCACACACAAGAAAGTTCAATTTTGAATCAGAAACCATCTTGTCTTGCCAGTAGGCAAGCCAGGATATTGAGTTGGGTAAAATAAAAAATTATGTCTTAATTGTCAAGTATTTTCATTTAATATTATTATTATACCTACAAGATAAATAGATTTATGTGAATACATGTGTATCTATACATATATACACAGAAAAAGCACTACTTTATTGGTATTATTTTATCTGTGTATTTTTCAGTTGCTTTTTCAACTTTTTGTTTAATACAAGCAAAGACAGACTATATCACTGAGCAGCATCTTGTAATAAACTGCAACTGGCTACTGTAACACTTACCTTTTCATCTGACAGTCACAAAACAAACAAATAAAAACCAGAGGTTAAACATAAGCAAACCTCTCCTGCTTCAGTTCAGGACAAACCAGAGCACAAGTATAGCAACTCAAATAAATGATGTTATCACTAATGCAATGCCCAAACTTTTCACTACAAAAGATGTTTAGATACATATAATGCCTCTCCCTATACCACTGAGATGATACTGACTTTAAACATACTTTTCTGGGGACAGAACAAAGTTTTTCCATCACTGACTGGCCAAGAGATTGACTCAGCTCCCTCCTCTTCTGACATACAGGAACCTGTGCTTCCTGGGTCAGTCTTCAATTTCGCAAGGAATAGGGCCCAAACTACCATGAAAATTGAAATGAACAGAATGTCACTACATTCCTCCACAGTCATCATGATGACTTTGGTCTATTATGTCTCATTTTTAACTACCAATGTTTTATTTCGCAGCTAAGTTTGAATTCTCAAAAGTCATTAGAAAAAGCAATTAGTCAAAACAAAAAGCAATTTTGTTTTTTATAGCAGTATGATTTGACAGTAGGGA